AAAAAAAAAAAAAAGAGAGAGAGAGGAATCTTTGTCCCCAAGAACATGGGAGAGAGAAAGCCCCACCCAAATCAGGAGTGCTTTTGGCTCTAAGAACCAGACTGAACACATGAGCTGGGAGAGGCGACAAAGAATGTCAGGCTCTGAAGTCATCGCCCCTACCCCGTGCTGGGGAGTTTCACGGCCCCTGCCCAGGCTGGCAGGAGACGGAATACGCAGCAGTGGAAAATCTGTGTCTGCTGTGGGTCTGTGCGGGGAACCAGGGCTTGGGAGGAGAGGCAGCAGTGGCCTGGCTCCAGCAGGGAAGGGCCAGGGCCAGCCTCCCTGGGACACCAAGCGCTGTCAGCAGCGGCACCCCTCACGAGAACCAGCTCAGCCCCAGAAAGGGTGGGGCTGGGTCAGACATCACGAGGGACTTCCCAGCTGGCTGAGTTATGACACCTTGCCAAAGAGAAGCAGACTCATCTCCCACACACATAGTACCAGGGACAGGTTGCCCTGGGTGGGGTGGAAGGCAGCCCTCTTTGGTACAGGAGAACAGGCAGCAGAATACCTTTCAAGTCCTACCTTAAAAACCTTGCGTTGGGGGGGCTGAGGGGAGGGGGAGCTCGACATCAGCACAGGGACCGCAGGCTTTCGGCAAATGCCACGACCTCAGCATCTCTAGCCTAGCACACCCACAGCTCGGAGATGTGCTCTCTGGCTGCTGGACCTCCAGCCCCTAGAGAGAAAGCCATCTCCTCAGGGTCACCGCAAGAGGATGCCGGACTTGGGGAAGAATGGCCCCTTCCTGATGCTCAGTGCACACAGTGTCTCCCTTCGTCTGGCCCTCCTCTCCACGCCTTTTCTGAACACCCCAAAGCTGGCGCAGAGCGAGAAAGCTCCCTGGTCTGCCCTCCGCAGCCCTCTGCTCGGCCACCTGCTCCCACACCGCACGCGTGTGCTTCCCTCCAGTGTCACGCTCCCCGGTGCTCACACGTCAGAGCTAAATAAAAAGAGTGAAAGCCCTACTTCCAAGGGTGGATGCGACATCTGCCTCGGCCCAGGAGGGAGTGCTATCTCTCTCCCCCACCGCCCCTAGCTGATGTTCCATGCAAGGCAACAAGAAGGTCCAGAACGAAACAGAACTTGCAAGCTTTTCTGCTGAGCTGCGAAAGGAATGCGGCACAAAGGGTTCCCGGCCTGGAAGTGGGGGCAAAGCAGTGGGGGGAGGGGGTGGTTCTCAGGCTCAGGAAGACTCATCCCCTTTCCCCATCAAGACTGCCCTGTCCCCTGCCTGGCAGCATTATGCCAGCCATCCCAGAAGCCTGGCTCTGGGCGAGGAGGGGCTGAACCGAAAAGAATTCACAGAGCCTGGGGTTGGGCTGGGGAGGGAAGGTCCAAAGCTGTCACGCACTGTTGGCCTCACTCAGCCCTGGGCGCACAAATCACACAGGGGACTCCCAGGATGCAACATGGAATCCCCTGCAGGGGGTGGAGGAGGGGGGGAGGCTCCGAGGGAGGGCGCTTTCACTCTCTTTCTCAATCACCTATTTTCCTCATTCCAGCTGTTGAGACAGCTTCCCCTGGGGTTTGGTGGAAACCTTTCCCACCCCTCCCTCCGTAAAGTACTCAGTATTTCTTTGAAGAAGTTACTAGACTTGGCCTCAGCTTCTCACATCACAGCATAGCTGCTTTCTGGCTGTTTCGCTGGCCTGCCCACCTTCTCTTCCCTTCCCTCCAAGATGTTCTTCCGGCTTGAGTCTCTCTCACATCTTAAAGTAGCGCTGATAGATCTGCCCGAAGCACGATGGGCAGAGAGGGCCAGACTGCCAGCCTCTGCAGCCATGCCCACGTGCATTGCTTTCAGGATCACTTATCTGGCCTTTTTGGTAGCCAGTCGGCTGAGTGTCTGGACAAGAGTTGAAGGTGATGGCTGTGGGGCAGAGGGCCAGAGGGAAGAGAGGTGGCTCGGCTATGCTTCTCTTCTGGAATTGACGAGCTCCTAAGAACAGGTAGTCTTTTTTTTTTTTTTTTTTTTTTTTTTTTTTTTTTTTTTTTTTTTTTAGTTTCTTTATTTTGAGGGGGGAGTCAGAGAGAGCAGGGGAGGGGCAGAGAGAGAGGGAGAGAGAGAATCCCCAGCAGGCCCTGCACTGTCAGTGCAGAGCCCAACACGGGGCTCGAACTCGCAAACCGTGAGACCATGACTTGACCTGACACCAAGAGTCGGCCAATTAGCTGATTGGGCCACTCAGGTGCCCTAGAAGCAGGTGCTCCGAAAACACGCGATCTGCCCTAAAGACAGGGAGGAAGATATCAAAGAGGCCAGTTACCATCTCCCTCTTACGTCCGTTGCATCTCATATCCACTCCCCTGGTTCTGTACCCCTCCCCACCCCTACTCTAACATTTTCTAAAGCAGCGGCCTCTAAGTAGGGGGCACGCAACCATCTGCTGGAGCGTGGGAGAAGCACCAGAACTTTTTATATGACTTCATCCACTTCTATTTCTTGCATCTCTTCCTATGTAAATAATACTAGTGTTAGAAGCATTAATAGTAATATAGTAGAGTTGTGGGTAAGCATGTATTATTTATCATGTGCTCAGCTTTTTTTCCAGATTGAAAATGCTACTGGAAGGGCGCCTGGGTGGCTCAGTCGGTTGAGTGTCCGACTTTTGATTTCGGCTCAGGTCATGATCCCAGGGTCGTGAGATCAAGCCCCGCATGGGGCTCTGTGTTGACTGCGGAGTCTGCTTAAGATTCTCTCTCTCTCTCTCTCTCTCTCTCTGCCCCTCTCTCCAACTTGCTCTCCCTCTCAAATAAAAAAAGCAAACAAAGAAAATGCTACTGGAGATTTCAGTCTGCACAGGGAGGAAGAGCCCATCCTAGCGTGTCCCAGCTCGTGGAAAATGGACGATGCTTGGTGGGATACGCCACTGACCTCAGAAGGCTTGGGGACAGGAACACAGTTAAACCCCAGAGATCTTAACATGGCAGGAAATATTACGCTAAACGTTGCCGTTAATGAACCAGGAAGGTAATTCAGGTGGGACTGTCTTAAAACAGATTCTTTCCCCTCTTGCTTTTTACTCCCCAAAGAATCTCAGCTTCCCAAACTTAGTGGCTGCCCAGTAACTATGCAGGGCGAAGACGCCGCCATTTTCTGTCAGGAACATTCCGCGAGTGCTAGCAGCTGCCGTGGAGCACGGCCAGGCCTCAGCTTCCCCAGGGAATCAGAGGTACAGCGGTCCATGCTCCCAACTAGCCACGCCCACTGACGGGGCAGAAGCCACGGGTAATATTAGCACTGGGTCACAATTAGACATTTTATCAGGCATTGAAATAGAGAGCAAAGTTTTGAATTACCTGTGCTTCTGAGACTCTCTGTGTTCCTGCTCTAGCCTAAGAATAGTCTATTCTGTTCTACCCAGTCGTAAGAACTTAGGGGAGGCATTTAAGCCTTTGGACCTGGAAGGAGGGGAGGGGGATGAATAAAATTAAATCCCACCTGCCTCTAGAATTGTGTAAATCCAGTATAATAAAACCATGCTCGTGTCATAAATATTATAAACTCCCAGTTCCATAAGGCCCCTTAAAGCTATGGTTTAAAAAAAAAAAAATCTGTCAGATCTATATAGGTGGTGCTATCAACCCAACAGATAATAAAAAGGAAGGGTCATACTCTAGGAACCAATTTCCCCAGCCTTACTTCACCAGGTTACCAACTACCAGAATTCAAGCACCAGGTGAATGTCTTTATTCTTTTTTTTTTTTTTAATGTTTATTGATTTTTGAGAGAGAGAGAGAGAGACAGAGAGAGAAAGACGCTGAGTGCAAGTGGGGGAGGGGCAGAGAGGGAGACACAGAATCCGAAGCAGCCTCTAGGCTCTGAGCTGTCAGCACAGAGCCCGATGCGGGGCTTGAACCCACGAACCGTGAGATCACGACCTGAGCCGAAGTCGGACGCTTAACCGACTGAGCCACCCTGGCACCCCTCTTTTTTCTTAGTTTGCAGGGGCCTCCCACAGGGGACAGGACTACAGTAGGTTGTTAGGCACCTCAGTGCGGTCTCCTGTGACCAGGCTGGCTTTTTACAGCATCAGCTCTTTGAGGCACCTGGAGAGTGAAGTTCTTTTCTCGGCCCTGCTGCACGAAACAGCTCAGCATTGCCTTTGTCTGGGGAGAGACTTCTGTGTCACAGCTCCTCTGTGCCTCCTTTTCTATGCTCGTATTCCTCGCACATGCGAGGAGGTCATTGTTGGCACGGGGGAATAAACATTACTCATGGAAAAGTTGCTTTCGGACTCCCTGCCTCCCCAGCTCCAGGACCGGCCCTATGATTAAGTCTTACACGGAAACAAATCAGGATACAGACTTGTGATCTAAGGAAGCAGGAGGATGGCGGCAGACAGCCGCCCCACTGGTAGGGGGACTGGCGTTGGGGCATGGCCGGGGCCCGTAGCAGCAGAGGCACCTGCCATCAGAAGCCATGGCTTTCCACCACAGGTCTGAAACTAGGAGTGGGGAGGAATCTAAGGGCATTAGTTACATCGACAACATTTGCTGTCTGATGGTGAGATTAAAGCAGCATATATGATGGCCTTTGGGAATGGAAGCTGTCTGGGAATCAGGGAGGAGACAGTAGCAGCTATGAGAAATGGATTAGGAAAACTGGGAGGACAGTCTGGATCCTTCCATCAGGAGCGTCCCAGGTTCCAACTGATTTGGACTCCTGAGCTTTGCTTTGTGAGAGAAACGACTGGCCAAAGCCATCAAGAGTGGTATAGGAAGGGGAAAAAGGAAGATCCTGCCTGCATTGCTCAGTGAAAATAGAACGCGAATAGCCTCTGTTTAAGGTCAACACTACTACAAAAGTGGCAGAATAAAGAAATCTAGCTGACAAAAAGCAGTGCCCAAAGGGCAGTCATTAGATTCTAGCCAGAGGGCAAAGACTGAGCCATGGGAGAGCGACCAAGCCCTGCCATCTGAACTCGATCTCTTTGACATCCAGAGGTGAAAGGACGCAGTGGCCATTGGTTACAGTCATACAAGCAGGAACCTCTCCAGAGGAAATAATACATCGCACTCCACGGGTGCTCATACTCTGGCAGATACCTTCAGACATGTGGGCTCCATTTTAATCTGAGACAACTCATTAATTGAACACCCATCCTAAGCTTGAGCGCTGGATGCACATGATATGTACGTGGAATCCCAATATTTTAATCCCGATAACTGAATGGGCTAGGTATTAACATCATTTTCAAAGAAGGAAGAGACTCAGGGCGGTTAAGTAAACTGTTCAATGATACTCAGTAAATGGGGGAGCTAGTGTTTGAACTCATGAGAGGTAGGAAACTGGATTCTAGCAGTCAAGAGAACACGGAAGGAAGCTCCCTCAGATTGCGAAGAAAACAAGACATGTTAATGTACAGATATCTAGATAAAAATCTCTCGCTCGTTCGCTCTTGCTCTCTCTCAATCCTAAAGAGTCTGGAAAAGAGACTTGGACTCTTGTCCAAGTCCAAGTCCAAACTTACAGCACTGGCTGGGGGACAAAACTTCTTAGACTTGGCAAAAAATATGATGTAGGTTCCAAGGAAGGCTAGAAATAGTCTACTTCAAGAGGCTAAAGGCATCTGAAGGACAAGATCTTTTTTTTTCTTAATATTTCTTTAATATTTATTTTTATTTTTGAGAGAGAGACAGAGACAGAGACAGACTGCGAGTGGGGGAGGGGCAGAGAGGGAGGGAGACGCAGAATCCGAAGCAGGCTCCAGGCTCCAAGCTGTCAGCACAGAGCCCGACACGGGGCTCAAACTCAGGAACCTCGACATCACGACCTGGGCCAAAGTCGGATGCTCAACAGTGGGATGCTCAACCGACTGAGCCACCCAGGCGCTCTGAAGGACAAGATTCCTGATTTACCTAATGCTACTCAGCCATGTCCTGCCTCACTGACGGGGCCAAGTAAGACCCTGTAACACAGATGCTATAACCATGCATAAGTGACAAAGGAAGGTTCCTTTGATTCTGTCTCCATTCTGATGAGGCAAAATTTTACATTACCATGGCTTATTGGGCAACTGAAGTGAGCCAGGCAAGCACGAAGCCAGGTTTTCCGTTCTCTTTTAAAAGCACATTAAGAAGAACTATATTAAAGTGTGCCAGGCAGGGTTGAAAAAAGTCATCAATAATTCCCTGACATGAAGCAAAGTGAATAATCCAAAGATACGGTAGGTACTACCCTGTGATTTGCCCCCCTATTTCTAACTGTACACGATAGACAGATGCCACGTTGGGCGGATGCACTGGGTCACTTTTTTTGTGCCCGTTCTCCCCAGTTACACTGTGAGATCGGTGTGGGGCAGAATTGTATTTAAGTTCTTCTGTAATCAAAGACTGATATTGAATAAGAGACTTGATCACTTACTGATAAAAGCGTCTCTAACACAAACACTTGTAAAGCAGAGCCAAATCCTCTCCTTTCTGTACACTGACACAGAAAAAGGAAGAAAGTCCGACCATCAGCGAACACCATCGCTGGGAAAGAGATGGCTCTCCATGGTCTCACCTCCTTTCAGAGGCCATGTTTTTCTCAAACGACCCAGATACACCAGTGAGGTCTCTTACTGCCCTCTCGAGAAGCCGGGAAACCATAGTTTTGAACACTAGCCACCTTCCTCTGATTCCCCACCCCTGGTGTGGTTTTTACCTTCCACGGGGTTGGTTTTCAGTCTACTGCAGAGATTCGTTACACCCCCGTAGTGGACGTTGATCTGGTTGATTGCGTCGGTCGAACGTAGCTCCATGAGCTTCCGCAGGTCCATTACTGTGCAGCCAAACTCCCGCTCGTGGCTCTCAACCATCGAGTTGGCCGGCAAGGTACGTTCTGTTGGGTTCGTCATTCTGCCTGCTGTTACCAAGCCCCTCGACCAGAGAAAATGTGGTTTCCCTTCAACTGGTCAGGAACCCCTGCCCTTCTGCCTCACTTCTTACTTCTTGCTTCTCTGGGAGCCTGGGTAGGAAATAGTTGGGCTATATCCTGTGCAGTGAGCTTCAGGGTAGCAGCCTCTAGCCCAGATCCTTTTTGTGTATGAAGCTCGGCAGCGAGGGGAGGAAGGGGATGGGGGAGCCGAGTGGAAGCCGGACCACGTGTCACGACGATTGGTGTCCCCAGGTGGTAATGGAAGCCGTTGTCCAGGGTAGGTAGGTTCCTAGCTTAGACCAGCTTGCCCAGATGGAGGTATAAACAGGATGTGCGTGTTACCATGGAGGCTACCTTAGCAACAACCGGCAACTGCGGTGGTAGAGAGGCGGCAGGAGAAGGAGGAGGAAGAGGAGGGCTCCCTGGATACCGCTGACAACTGGATCTCTGGAATAAAGATTCGAAGACAGACAAAAACAATTAGAGCAGCCATGAGGATCCAGCACCTGCGAGGCAAGAGGTACTCATTTTAGGGCTTAGATGACAGCGGGTGCCTGAGCTGAACCGATCGCCGAGGCCTGAGCTGAGGGATCGGACTCAGGAGGGGCCCGCCTCTCCCTAGGAGGCCCCAGCAGCCTGTACACCCCCATGGAGAGGAGTAATTTCCGATATACCCCAGTCTTCACATCACGCCATTCTCAAGCCAAGTGACAATCTGGCGACTTCAGGAACTTGGAAATAAAAGGTTTGTAACCCCTAATGGCTCTTACGCTCTCCACGTCTATCCATATGAGGGCCCCACTATGAACTCCTTTAGTCTGATTTTAACCGGTCAGAAGAAGAGTCCAGACCAGAGTGGCCTGGAGGGTGGCCTGCCAGTCTGCCCCCCCCCCCCGCGCCCCTGAACCCTGCGCCCTGTACCCAACACCCACATTGACAAACCAGGAGGGCAACCTGATAGAAGATGCCCAGATGCTCCGGGGCCCCTCCGAATACTCAGCCTCCAGCCTGCTGCAGCTGTGAGCAGGTTGGCGACTACGTTCAGGTCTTGGAGCTAACAAGCCCCATCCCTCCAAAAAGCTTTCGCCGTCTCCAAAAGGGGAGAGTAAAATGCTCTGGCAGTTGGCAATCCAGGGTGCAGCCTTTCTACGTAAACGGGACAGAAGGACCTCTGAGAAGGAGGTTTGCAGCGTATGGTTTCAATGTTACTCGGGGTGGCGGGGATAAGGCAGCTATCAGTTCAGATAGAGCCCAGGGCCATGGCAAGGTCAGCAAGAAAGCAGGGTTAGCCCGCGTGTGAGTCAGCATCGGAGGGTCTCAGATCAGCATTTCTCCCCTCAGAAAGGCATGTGCGTCCCCTCTGAGTGGGAGGAAGGGTGGAGCTACGTGCAGGTGAGGATCTATAGGGCTGAAGGTGGCCAGGCTCCCCCTGCCCCCCGCCCCGGCCCTGTTCTTAGCTTTAGAGAGCAGCTCCTGCGTGTCATGGGGGACCCATCGTCACACAGCAGCCGTTTAAATGTGAAGTGGCTCTTTCTGAACGCGGCACCAGAACACGGGGGCCCAGCCCTGGTTAAACAGTCCCCAGTCAGTTGAGTTGTTACCAGGGAGTGGCAAGGATCTCGGGACAGCCCCTCTCTAATACATAGATGACATCCTCACTTGTAGAAGGCGAGCAAAGAGGCACAAGAACCATCAGAAAAGGGCTGGGCTCTTTTACCGGTTACTTTTCCCCAAATCACGTGTGGCCAAAGTTTCCTACCAATCCTGTTCCCGGCGGGTCCCCTGGGATGGAGTTGGGTACTCCTCCCTCCCCCAGTGTTCACTCTGCCTCCTCCTTTTATCAGAGATTTTTAGAGCTACTCTGACCTACAGAGGGCTAAGCAAGCAGGGCTTTGCTTTATTGTTGCTATTGTTTTTCAAACATCACATTGCCTTTTGCTTTTCCTGTTTTAAAGAATTTTTTTAAAGTTTATTTATTTATTTGAGAGAGAGGGAGAGAGAGAGAGAGAGAGAGAGAGGCAGAGAGAGAGAGGGAGAGAGAGAATCCCAAGCAGGCTCCATGCTGTCAGCACAGATCCCGATGCAGGGCTCGAACTCCCGAAACCGTGAGATCATGACCTGAGCCGAAACCAAGAGTTGGACACTTAACCGACTGAGCCCCCCAGGCGCCCCCTCCTTTTTTTCTTTTTTAGATGTCATCAGAGTAGCCTGGGGAACAGAGGTCTGGAGAGAACCTGAGGCAGCGTGTCAAACTCCCTTCATTCAGACTGGCCCAATGATAGGCGGTACGACAGAATTTCCCTCCAGTTCAGCTTCTCGTCGAAGCTTGGAAGCAGTGGGAAGGGCTAGAGCAGTAAGGAGCCCATCTTGACCCTTAAGTAGAGCTCCTTAACCTTTCAAGAGGATGTTGACAACAGTGCTGACAGAGTGCTAAACTGGAAATCAGACTTTCCTTTTTCTATCTCGACCCACTATAATGTCTGTCCCATGAAGGCTAAGCTTTGCACTTGTCGCGTTCACGGCTTTATCCCCAGTGCCATAAGGGCGCCTGCACACATGGGCATTCAGCTCATTTTGTTGTCATGGTTGTTGTTGTTGAATAACTGGTAGCAGATCCAGAACCAGATTTACCATCTTCCCAGGCACCCTTGGGGCATGTCCCTTGGCCTTCTTAGGGCTCAGTTCCTCCCACCTTCACCTGGGGGAAAAAATCAGCCCTACCTCTTCACACCATCTCAAGAAAGTGACAAAGGACTAGAATAAGAGATAGAAATAGTGCTGGAAATCTTTTTTTTTTTTTTAATGTTTATTTTTGAGAGAGAGAGAGAGAGAGAGAGAGAGAGAGAGACAGAGTGAGAGCAGGGGAGGGGCAGAGAGAGAGAGAGGGAGACACAGAAAACGAAGCAGGCTCCAGGCTCTGAGCTGTCGGCACAGAGCCCAACACAGGGCTCGAACTCACGGACCGCGAGATCATGACCTGAGCCCAAGTCGGACACTTAACTGACTGAGACCCTAGTGCTTGGAAATCTTAGATGAAAGATGACCAGTGCCCAGTATGTCCACTCTCAAGTGATGGGAGAAGGCTTAATTTGATCTTAATGAACTTTTGGTATCTAGCCCTTTAAGCAGAAGGACAATAAGCTCCACGTCCCCCTCCATCTCTCCTTGCCAAAGGGAATGCCCAACCCTCAGAAAGAATGGAAAATTCCAAGGCAGCTCCATTAGCAATAACCATTAGCTACGTTATAACCACTGGCAACACCACTAGGCTATGCAGCCTTCCATTTCTAGAAAAGAAGAAGGGACGGTCTGAGTCAGAGTTCCTTACTTTGAACCTCTCCTCAAGGTATGAAAGGGGAGAAATTTTTCACTCACGGAGGCGACCAGTGAGAAAAGGTCACTTGAGATTAGAGCACGTGGGGCATGTGGCAGAGAATGAGGTCTGTCTGCTTCGGGTTGCTCTAGAGACGCTTACAGAGGAGGTCACGCACTAAGCCGTTGACACAGAGTCAAGGGGGCCGTTGTCAGCTGGGGCCCCCAGCTTAAGGTGGGATCTCTAAGGACGTTCTTCCGGAATTCGGAGGCCTAGCAGGCACCCATACGCCTCTCTGAGCTCTCAGAATGTGAGCGTTCCACAGCTGCTGAGTCTGCCTGGCCCCTACCCTTATTAGGCAACTGGCAAAGAATAATCTGTAAGTGCTCTCACACCCCCTCGGCCACAGCCTCAGCCTCAGACGCAATGCTCAGACGCCTGGGAGGTACCACCTCTTGTCAGGTCAGGATTAGTCACGCAGCCCTGGGGCATTCTGGGTAAGGTATGTGCTTACTCCCAGTTTCTAGCATTTTGCCAGCTTAAAGGACGATAGGACGGAAAAGCAAACACTACCTACAGGGGCAAGACATCCTATTATTGTACATGGTCATTGAATCATTTCAATGTTCTTCGGCCCAAAGTCTTGTAACATCCATTGTACAATTTGTAATGACGGTGAAAACATTGTCTTTAATCAATTCTACGTACGACAGGTTTAAACTCCCCCCCCCCTCCTCCATTTACAGATGAAGCCACTGAGGTCCAACGAGAAAAAAAGTGATTTAGTCTTTGGCAAGTCAGCACCCTTGACCATCTGGCACTCCTTTTGTTATACCTTACTCCCTCCCTCGAGTCTGGACCTCCTCCTTTTCTTCCTCCTTCTCCTCCTCGTCCTCCTCCTCCTTCTTCTTCTTTTTTATATTTAATTTCATTTACTTATTTAAAAATTTTTAATGTTTACTTATTTTTGAGAGAGAGAGACAGAGCACAAACAGGGGAGGGGCAAGAGAGAGAGGGAGACACAGAATCTGAAGCAGGCTCCAGGCTCCGAGCTGTCAGCACAGAGCCCAACGTGGGGCTCGAACTCACGGAACGCAAGATCATGACCTGAGCCAAAGTCAGACGCTTAACCGACTGAGCCACCCAGGTGCCCCTTTTTTAAAGTTTATTTATTTATTTTGAGAGAGAGAGAGGGAGAGCAAGCGGGGGAGGGGCAGAGAGAGAGACAGAGAGAGACAGAGAGAGAGAGAGAGAGAGAGAGAGAGAATCCAAAGCAGGGTCTGCATTGGCAGTGCAGAGCCTTACATGGGGCTCAAGCTCAAGACCCGTGAGATCATGACCTGAGCTGAAATCAAGAGTCAATCGCTCAACTGACTGAGCCACCCAGGCACCCCTTTTCATCTTTTATTTTACAGAGAGAGAGAGAGAGCATGCATGAACAGGGGAGGAGCAGAGAGAGAGAGAGGGAGAGGGACAATCTCAAGCAGGCTCCATGCTGAGTGCGGAGCCAGACTTGGGGCTTGATCCCACGACCCTGGGATCCTGACCGGAGCCATAATCAAGTCAATTGCTCAACTGACTGAGCCTCCCGGGCACCCCTGGACCTCCTTACTTTCTGACAAACATCAGAAATGCAGGCATCTCTGGAGTGGAGAAAATAACCATTT